CCATCCTTGCTTCTTGGTCATGTTGGATCTCGACGTCCCTCTGCTGTCTCAAGGCGTTGACGTGTTTCACGGCGTGGTGGCCCCTTGCTGCTCGCTGGATACTGACGGCGGCCTCTTGCTCGGCCGCACTCTGCCGTGCGAAGGCCAGCTCCTGAGCCCGCTGGTGCTCGATCTCGCGCTCTCGTCTCAAAGCGGTGACTCGCCGGCGGGCTTGGTTGCTCCTGGCCATGCATTGGATGGATTGTACGGCCTGGCGTTGTTCCTCCTCCCGCATCTTGAGCTGCCTCTCCGCGTCTCTCTGCTGCTTCAAGGCACCAACAAGATCCCTCGCTTGGCGCGTCCTCACGGCTCGCTGTATGCGCACAGCAGCCTTTCCCCGGGCGACTTTCCCTGCCTCCGCTTCTATCTCCATCTTGCGTTTCGCCGTCAAGTACGCAACCCGGCGGACAGCTACTCTTCTTCTCACAACAAGTTGAATGGCAATTGCGGCCTGAGTCTTGCGCTCGATCAACGTTCTTGCTTGCCGTGCCCGGCAACAACCTCGAAGCGCTTGCTGAATACAGGTCGCCGCTTCTTCGCACTTCCTGGACGCCGTCAACTCCTCGGTTATTCGAGAGGTACAGCCTGAAGCGACGACGGCAGGTGATGCCTGGGGTAACGGGTTGTTTCTGCGATGGACTATTCGTTTACGACAGAGCCTTTGGATACGCCGAGCCGCCGCTCGTTGCTCTTCGGCGGCCGCTAACATCTCTGCTTTTCGGAGAGACTCGGCCTCGATTTCTTGTAGGCGAGACGCTGATATCTCGTTATGGGTGTGATTCCCGCCGGATGCTCGCCGGCTCACGGCGGCAATGTCCTCCGGGTTTGTGCCGCCCTCCAGTTCGGGTTCCCCGGACAGCGGTGGGTGGGAGGCGCCTCTGATTCCATCGGCCTTCGTATGTTGCTGATCGTAAGCGTTCAGAATTCGAGCTGAGGCGATCATCGCTTCCGCACTTGGTTCTCTCGTTGCGCTCCAAGAACCATCACCTGTCGCCCCCT